TTTCAATTCTTTGGTAAACATTGATGTATGAATTGTAGGAAGGAATGATAACTGAATTTTTAATAACATTTTTCCAAATATCAGGTCAGATTTGAAGTAGATAGTTATAGTCTAATAGTGTTCCTCTTATTTTGTATTGTATCTTTAACTTATCAAAAGGCATAAATCCATGCTCATCACATACATCTTTTACTGTCAATAAACCCTTATCCGCCCAGTGTCTAATATAAGTGTTTTTATGATTATGATTGTGCAAGAATGTGATCAGTATTGTCAGAATCAGCATTAACCTTTTTGCAATAATTGTTCCATGCTTTTAAACATCTTTCCAATAAGGGTTTTCAATGTCAAGTATTTTGTGAATATTTGCTCCATACTTGAAGATATCATTATAAGGTATATTAAAAGGATTATTGTCGGATGATTTTTTACAGTAATTATTGTCTAAGAGTGGATAATTTTAGAGCTTCAATAAATGTTTTTATATCAACCATACCCAGTCCCCCTTCAGCCTTTAATCTTTTCATTGTGATTCATTTTATTTTTTCATTATTACCATTCCAAATGAATTTGAAAAATATCTTTTCAAGAAACTTGCTAAAGCCATCTGGAGGATTAGGCAATGAGCTTAAAATATGCACTACTTTTGAGAGTGCTAATGTTTTTATGACAGTAACCTTTCTTATCAATGTTCCCAAGGTTATATGATCAAGCTGGATTGTGTCAAATAGTTGTTTTATTTAAAGAATGTGTTATTGCCATCGATTTCAAATAGGAATCTCACTCACACTCACACATACACACGCACGCACGCGCACTCACGCACACGCACGCACACACACACACACACACACACACACACACACACACACACAAAAAACCCACAAAATTATGTCAGAGTCTTAGGTAAATTTCTAATAACAAAAAATTGCACTCGACTGATTTTTATGTCACTGGATGAACATTGGTTGATGGTAAACTTAGTGATAAATAAAATCATCACTTTTTAAACAAGTTCATGGTCAGCACAGGTATGGATGGTATATAGTGCCTAAATGCAAGAGGTAATTCGTTTAGAGTGTGTGATGAAGCATTTGTTGATATTTAGCAATTTCTAGAACCAACAAAGAAACAGTACATTTTTAACCATTTACAATGATCCACTCTTATATGAACCCATGAAGATACGGGTTAGAGTTGATCTTCAGTAACCCATGTTTGTCGTAAGAGGCGACTAACAGGATCAGGTGGTCAGGTTTGCTGACTTGGTTGACACGTCATCTTATCCCAATTGGGTAGATCGATGCTCATGCTGTTGATCACTGGGTTGTCTTGTACAGACTTGATTATTCAGAGACCGCTGCCATATAGCTGGAATAGTGCTGAGTGTGGTGTAAAACTTAACTCACCTACTCACTCTTATATGTACCCTGAAATGAAAACATTGCTGATGCCTGGATTTGTACCAAAGTAGGCAAAATATCATATTTTTTCACATGTATTGTCCTAACAGACTCATTGCCAGATGCAAAAGAAGGAGAAACCCATGACAAAAAGGTTATTACAATTTGAGACACTTTTAACAAATATTATAATGGTAAGCATTCCTTTATGCTAAAGGAACATGTTTCCACTTGGTGATAAATAGTTTTACTTTTCAGGAAGGGGAGAACAGACTCCAAACAAGAGTAGATCTGATGACACCAAGATGGGTATAGTATATGGGACTAATAAACTCAAGATGAATCATAATTTGGTATGCAAATGCTAAGTATGAGGTTGTGTCAGTTTCTCATTTGGCTTCAGATATGGCATTTTCTCACGTCATTCATTTTTCTGAAATGGTTTATTGTCTCAGTTGATAAATGCTACATTTGTACATACATTGAAGAATATTTGTGATACTCACGAAAATGTGTATGTGGGGGGGATACTAGAAGGTACAAATTGTAAAAGAACTGGAGCTATAGGCCTCATTTTGTGATCTTGAAATTTTGAACAAGAAGGGCAGGTAACTGCATATCTATTGCACTGTCTCAAAACCACCAAAATGAGATCAGTCTTGAAACATTTGTAAAAGAAACATTAATGTTTTGTTTTGTAACAGTGTAATGATGCAACATGTTACATCTTGGTGCAGAATAGAAAAAAGTGGATATGTAATGTCCGTTTAAGGGAACGTTCATTATTTATGGCTTTTGTTACATTGTTTTTTTTATTTATTTTATTTAATTTTATTTTTATTTATTTATTTATTTATTTATTTATTTATTTATTTATTTATTTATTTATTTATTTATTTATGTGTGTGTGTGTGTGTGTGTGTGTGTGTGTGTGTGTGTGTGTATGTGTGTGTATTCATTCATTCATTCATTCATTCATTCATTCATTCATTCATTCATTTTTATTTATTTATTCATTGTGATGCCACAGAAAAGTTAGGGTAATGTAATGTCCGTTTAAGGAACGCTCATTATTTATGGCTTTTGTTACATTTTATTTTTTTATTTATTATTTATTTATTTTTTTATTTATTTTTATTTATTTTTTATTTTTATTCATTGTGATGCTTCAGAAAAATTAGGGTAATATAATGTCCGTTTAAGGGAACGTTCATTATTTATGGCTTTTGTTACATTTTATTTATCTATTTATCTATCTATCTATCTATCTATCTATCTATCTATCTATCTATCTATCTATCTATCTATCTATCTATCTATCTATCTATCTATCTATCTCTCTATCTATCTCTCTCTCTCTCTCTCTATCTATCTATCTATCTATCTATCTATCTATCTATCTATCTATCTATCTATCTATCTATCTATCTATCTATCTATCTATTTATTTATTTATAAAGCTTTATCCACTGACAGTTTTACAGATACCATAACCTTTTCTATTCTTTATGAAAGAATATGTTGATTAAAATGTGATTGGACTGAAATTTTACCCAAAATAATTATTCCTCTCCTGCTCAAACTACACAATTGAATTACGTTTTGACTAAGAATAACAATTCTGTTATATACCAAGATGACATTTACACATCAAGTAAGCTTTAATTACGCATAATCAGGAAGAACCCGAATGTCAAAGATTCAGACATTTTTCCAACAATTCAGATTGCTAATTGACAAAACTGAAAAAGGCCCCATTAATAAGATTTTGGAATAAATGTTTTATGATTTTGAGTTTATTGTAATGAATAAACACTTCCCCTTGCCCGATACTGATAATTACAGCTAAAATCTGTTTGTTTTGTTTGTAAAGCAACTTTTAATGCATTTTAAAATTTGCCTTTTTTTTAGTTTGACTGTAACTTTTCCTAAATCTTAGTTTACAAACTTTCATCCATTCACAATAAATAACGAATGTATAGGCCACACAACAATCAATTATTACTTTCACTTTTCAAAAAACCTGTTTTTAATACTGGCAATTATCGTAATCAAAATTCAATGATTTTTCGTTTTTGAAATGTTAAATGCTTGCTCTATCAAATCATAAAGGTTATTTTTTGGAAAGAGTTGAGAATGTTATTTCAGACAAAATTAATTGGTAGAAATAGAGGGTGGTGCTTGTTTTATGCACAGATGTTTGTTTGTTTATTTATTTATTTATTTATTTTGATTGATTGATTGATTGATTGATTGATTGATTGATTGATTGATTTTTCACTCTTTTTGAGGGGTGGGGGTGGTGATGATTTTAGGGGGGGTCACCCGCTTTCTTCTGGGAGGTAGGGGTAGTCGTGAATTTTGTACACATGTACCCGGGCGGGGCAGCAATTTTGTACATAATTATATTTAAATTATAAATATACAAATTAATGTGAGTGCGAGGGAGGGGAGTGGGGGGGCATAATTGTATTTGTACATGGGAGGGGGGTCACTTCCTTTGTACATAAATTTTAAGTTACTCAGATTGTACATGCTTCTCCATAAAAAAACATCAAACTCCTCTCCCCCCTCCCCCTTGTGATTTTTGTTGGACTTAAGTTTGTACTGCCAAAAGAAAATTAGCTTCCTAATGCTATTATTATCTCATTGAAACTGTATGGTTTTACACCACTTTTAGCAATATTCCAGCACCAGAAATGGGCTGTACCCATGTGGGGAATCAAAACAGGGTCTTCTGGGTGATGAGCGAACATTTTAACCACTAGCTATAGGCTAAACCACCCCCTCCCCCGAGATGATTGTGAAATGTGACTGTAATACTTGTATTTATATCATAGACTTGGTTATTGTTGGATTTTAATCAGGTGTATGGTTTTAAATTATTCTTGTAACACTTGAAAATACTTTAAGGAATGGGGTGTAGGGGATGCTTCTGTTTATGTAAATATTTTCAAATAGCTACCTTGGTTTGTTTACTAGTTCATATTTTCACAAATATGATGGGTGTAATGTTCAATGCCATATACATGTAACCTCCACGTATTGACACATTTCAAGTTGGTGAGCCAATGGCATTACTTCAATTGTTTGTAAGAGTCTTTTCAACAGACATAAAGATATGTGTGTGAACCAACTTAATGAGTTCGCTACTACATATAATTACATTTCATAGTATTCTTCTTGCCTGTCCCGTTTCAGACAGGCTGCTCTGTATTTTAGTAATAAAACATCTTTAACAAAACTCATTTCTTTTTGTCATTTTATGGGGAAATCTGACAATGGTCAGGTTTTATCTGGTCAGCTGATGCTCTACAACATTTGTGAATACACAAACAACTAACACCAGGATTTGATGGATGTCTATACATGGACAGAAAATGTCCACTGTGACATGTTCACCTTGCACATGCTTGCCTATGTTCAGCTGCATAAACTTATGTGATGCCACAGGCATTGGTTTGACTCCCTACCCCAATGCAAATATATAAAGTTGATGCCCTTGATTGGGATGTGACTGGTATGATACTGATAGAGGCATCATAACCAACTATTTGTCATTTCAAACTATTTCAAAGATGTCCCAAATGTTTAAACTTCTGATATCTTAAAAATCACATAACACATTTGCATGTTTTACCTTTAGTAAACTGTGCTAAAGGTGTCCTGTATACATTGCTTCTCATGCATACTGTATAAGCACACCTATATTTCAAGTTTAGACCAGACCAATTCTATTTCTTGTTTTACGTATCCTCCGGTTGTATTTTTTTCAAGAATATGAAAAGAAATAAAAGTGAATTTTCTCCGCTCAAAAAACAAAATCCTTATGTTTTTATTGGTCAAAAATGGAAACTTACAAGAAATTCTTTTGAGGACAAAAATATGTAAAACAAGAAATACATTGGTCTGGCCTTATTGATAAAGAACATGGCACATAACCCAAGAATTGATTACCAAACACCAAATTCAGTTCCAACAGGGAAGACCTGCAGACAACCCTCCACCCTGCTAAAAGACTGAGTATGGGTTTACACCACTTTTACCTAAAAGAGTAAAATTCACACTCTCTCAAATTTTCTAAAGTTACACACTCACCCTGTGTGCATAGTGGTAAAAAAACAGGCTCTGTCACCACGAAGATGTATTATATTTTATTTATTCTACAGTTTATGAATGTATTGATTGATTAAAGTAAAGTGCAATTATGACTTGACAGATTAACAACAATCATCTAGAATGTGGGTGACACATAACAATCCCTTCCTCTGTCAAACTCTTTAAGACAATGATACATAACTGAGAGAGAGAGAGGGAGGGAGGGGAGAGAGAGAGAGAGAGGGAGGGAGGGAGAGAGAGAGAGAGGTGTCATCAATTTTGTATACATGCACTTCACGGTGTGTTTTCATGAAGGAAGAGGGGTGGGGTGGGACTGTTATTCACATTGTACGTGCTTCTCCATAAAAATCATCATCACTCGATCCCAGACCAGCTATCCATTATGAACGGTCCCTTGCAAATTTTCGATCGAACTTTTAACAAACATTTGAATATTGCTATATTTTCTTTAATATTTATAAATGGTAGTATGGAAGGAAATGCTGTTTTTGTTTTGTTGTATGGGAAAATGCACTCTCATTACACGCAATTCAACTTTACACGACTCAGCAGAAGTAAAGACACTTCCGTGTTCAAGAGAGAAATAGTGCGTACGAAACACGTATGACGTGGTCACATAAGCTCCGCCCACTCATGTTTATTTATAATTTCTGTGCACTTAAGACCATTGTAGGTTTAAGGGCACAACATACGCAAATAACCCTTTTGTCATACCTAACATAACTACCAAGATTCATTCAAGTCCATCCATAACTTTTTTTTAGATATTATTCATATTTCCCATTTACCTAGCATTGCGATTATTTCCAAAGTACCTCTGTGTAAATGTACTTTAACATACACTCTTGAAAAAGAAACGCAAAATAACATATGAAAATAATTGAAAGTTTGTACGCATATGTCAAATTAAGTATGTTTTTAGGGTTGAAAATTATTGTTGGTATGGTTTAAAAGAACATGCGTGAGCGAATGCAACCATAAACGATTTAGAATGGCTTTATCTGTCATGATTGTCATGATAAGCTTGAATGTTATGGAACATAACCAAAAGCCGCAATTATTGTTTTTCACGTGCAAAGCATGAGTACAACCTATGACTATATAAAAAAAACAATGCATCTCGCAAATTCATCCAAGACCCTTGCAAACACTGGATGAGAAAATGGGACGTCTCAATGGTGCCGACCGAAATATTGCCATTGGACGAATCAAAGAGTAGCGAAGAGCTTCAGTGTTCATCCCAGCACAATAACTCGTTTGTGGGATCTTTTTGTGCATTCCAATTCGACAAGTGATCATCCACGACCAGGAAGACTGCGAGTCACTACACTAGCCCAATATCGCTACATTCGGGTAACCCACCTACGTGACTGCCATCGTTCCGCCCGGAACACAGCACAAGAACGATTTGGAGCCCGGAGAATGTCCAACCAGACAATCAGGAACCGTCTCCGAGAGGCAGGTATTGGGTGCCAGACGTCCAAACGTTGCACCCACTCTGACACGATGACATCAACGTCCGCGAGTCAGGTGGTGTAACACTGTGCAACCTTGGAAACTGAGGCACATTATATGGTTCAGAGAGTGGTATCCCCTCAAGCGACGTGGCGGAAGACAATGTGTCTACAGAGCACGCAATGAACGTTTTGCACCCAACTGCATCAGGCAAGTGGACAGATTTGGTGGAGATGGTGTCATGGTTTGGGCAGCCATCTCATACACCTGCAGATCGGAAATGGTGCTCGTCCAAGGCAGTCTAACGACCGCTCGATATATCGACCAGATTCTCTGTCCTCACATGGATCGCCTTGTCGACCGCCAGAGGGAGCTGTACCAACAGAACAACACCAGACATCACACAGCACGTGCTACAGTGAACTACCTGGCCAATAACAACACAAGTGTTCTCCCCTGGCCCTCCAGATCCCCGGATCTGAAACCAATTGATTATCTGTGGGATCAGATCGATGAACGTGTACGTCAACGTCGTAATCCGCAAATGACCCTTCAACAGTTGCTCAGCATGCTGCAGGAGGAATGGAGAATGATTCCACAACGAAACATTCACAACTGATTCGATCTGTGTCAAGGGGGTGCCATGCAGTTCTAGCAGTAAGAGGTTGCCATACAAGGCAGTAATGTCAACGCCACCTCGTGGACAGCAGTAGTGACTCTGTTGACTGTCATTCTTGTGAAATTTGCACGAGATACCAATGTATTGCTCTACATAATTTCAATGCTGTACCGTTTATTTTCGTTGATTTACATATAATTGAATAAGATATTTCAATATGATATTTCAATGATATTTTGCCTTTGCGTTTCTTTTTTGAAGAGTTTACTTTCTTCAACATCTAACTGATTTGCCCTGGGGACATACCCAAGAGATCCAGTAAGTTTCATTGAAATCCATCGAGTAGTTTTTGAGTAAAGTTGCTTTACAAACAGCAATGAATACATACCCTTTGCTACAAACCTTCGGTTTTGGCAGAGGTAACTATTATGATCATAGTGATTATTATGCATACATATATTATTGAGATTCATGATATATAATTGTAGTTGTAAAACACCCATCACATGGTATATTTTGATAACTACATGCCTATGTTGTGCTAGGTATATAAAAATATGTTTTTCTCACATTGGTGTTGCAGCTCGATTATGGGTACCGATGTTCAATTACCCAAGAATGACACTTATAATCATCCGATATAAATGGAACCATGTTTTTTTCTGAATCCATATGCAATACTGATTACAATTATCAGTGGTTCCAAAAACTTAACATGCACTTTTCACGGAAAGCATATGTGCTACATAAGCCCCTGCACTAAATACTGTCAAATTTGTACCACTGTTTAAGTTAATTGTCATCAAATGAATGTGAAACGTCAATATTCTTCAACTTGGCATACATACATACATACGCACGCACGCGCACACGCACACGCACACACACACACGTAAATGCAAATGCTGATATGCCCATAGCAGCGAGCGAATGAGTGAAGATCTTTGGTCACCTCGGCAGTCTTTAAGCCATATCGTGACTAAACATGTCATGACATAATAATAAAAACCAGTCGACAAAGGACTAGAATGTCACAGATATAGATGTAAAACTGGCATGTAAATCTGAAACTACATGTATTTACTACTGAGGACAAAGCAATATGAAAACTGTCCATAGATCAACAATAACTGAAGGTTGATACAAGGTATTCGTGTGTATATCGTGAATGGCCAAAAAGACAATCACCTAGGTAATGAAGCTCAAGGTGCATCTTAGTTCCTGCTCGAGTAAATTTAGCTATAAGTCACATATATAGATAATACTGTTTCTGTCAAATTTGTACCACTGTATAAGTTCATTGTCAATGGATGTAAAACGTCTCTTTGTTCATTAAATATTCTTGGACTACGTCTGGTAGCCATTTTGTTTCTTTTGCTGATGAACTCGGGCAAGGGCAGTCTTAATAGTAAAGTCTATTGATAAATATGACTTGTAAGTTTTACCACAAATAAACGATGATTATTTTAATTACTTCATTTGTCTGTAAATACGACCCCTGGTTGTATCAAACCCTTCATGAACTATTGAGTGCAATGAACATCATATGATACATACAATTCTGAATGTGTTAGCTAATGTAATCATTCAAATCTACTCGTTCGGAACGTTGATTTGACCTTCATTGTGATGCCTATAAATGCGTTCCTAAGTGTTCAAATGGTAAGGAACCAGGTTGTTGCACCTTTACTGATATTACGAGTCACTAAGAACAGCACGACACATTGCAGGGCTATTTACTCTCTGGTAATGTCTATCTGCGTAAGGCAATTTTAATGACATGTTAAAGGGTAATTAAAGCTTGATATAACTGTGTCTTCTGTGAATGTCTAATAAGACGACTGGGTAGGTGTTACCGCATGTCCTGGCCGAGAATGAACCATCCTCACTAGGCCGGGATAAGGGGTTCCGATATCTACCACTGGCTTGGCGGGGCACTATTACCGACTTGAGGCCTGTGCGGGAATACTTCCTGTATTAACTAACTCACCAACGAAAACGAACTGAATCTTATAACCAAATATTTATTGGTATACAGAGTAAAAAATATTACAAAATTATGGTAGACACCTCTTCCTTTTAAATATACTGTGAATAAATATCACCGGATGTTTAAGTCTTGCACATATAACACTTGCAATTATTGCATGTCCAAACGTTGCATGCACGTGATACCCCCGTGCTTGTTGCTAATGCTGTCAATGATCTGTTATCCTCAATCATCGTAGCTCACAACAGTCTCCCGGCCACATGGACCGCCAATATAACTGAGGGTACGTGTATTGTAACTGTGAGAATTGTGATGACAGTGAGCGATAAACCATGCATTCTCTTGAGACCATGATGCCCCATGTCACTGATGTCATAGCACGTTGTAGTGGGTTGTGCCAGGGTCCCGATTCACAAAACGTTACGACATTCGCAAGCCTATGATAAACTGTAGAGTTACGACAGGTCGTAACGTCACGAAAGCTTTGTGTATGGGGATCCAGTTCGTCCCTGATCTTCTACTGATTGAGTTCAATCTTGGTCTGAAGATCACCGTGACATAATTCTAACTGAAGGCAATGCAGGACCCGGCCCATGTCCTTCCTCCGTCCGTAGATTACCGTTACATGTTCTCCCAGTCTACGCCCAGGACGCTGATGACATCCAGACGCTCCATGTCCTTCCTCCGTCCGTAGATTACCGTTACATGTTCTCCCAGTCTACGCCCAGGACACTGATGACATCCAGACGCTCCATGTCCTTCCTCCGTCCGTAGATTACCGTTACATGTTCTCCCAGTCTACGCCCAGGACACTGATGACATCCAGACGCTCCATGTCCTTCCTTCGTCCGTGGGTTACCGTTACATGTTCTCCCAGTCTACGCCAAGGACACTGATGACATCCAGACGCTCCATGTCCTTCCTCCGTCCGTAGATTACCGTTACATGTTCTCCCAGTCTACGCCCAGGACACTGATGACATCCAGACGCTCCATGTCCTTCCTTCGTCCGTGGGTTACCGTTACATGTTCTCCCAGTCTACGCCCAGGACACTGATGACATCCAGACGCTCCATGTCCTTCAGTTTGATGACCAGGTCGGCAACAGTAGATCTAGGATGTGTTGAGATCCAGTCGTTAAGAAGAGCCCCACATGGGTCTCTGGGGCAGCGAAATGTGATCAGCTCAACATCGTGTGACGTCTTTCCAAGCATTCCTAACACAAAGGAAATACGTATTTATGTACACATATCTACACACATAAATGACTTAAGTTTGTAATCTATTTTATTAATTCTCTTACCATTTACATTCAATATTGCTTACGTTAAAGTTCGGCGAAAGCGTGTGAAATAGCACGAACTCCCCGTTATCTGCATTAACCATAACCATGGCCTCTAAATGAATGTTAGGTGACAGAGAATGGATGCATATAAAATATATGTTTGACACGTTGGTGTTTGAAGCAACATTTATGGTATTTTTACTATTATTATAGGATATTTATATAGCGCACATATCCAGGCATCTAGTGCATGCTCAAGGCGCTGGTATTTTTCCCTCGGTCATTGGATTTCAATCTCAACGGCACATCGTATTATGAATCTCAACTCCCTGGGAACTATGCAACCACAGGAACCCGTTATCGCCATGTAGGTTATACATAGACCATAGATCTACATGCCCCTCATATATATAATAGAGAATCTCACCCAGGTGTTACTACTGATATCAATTATATCAACACGAGTTTATAAAGTTACAAATATCCGAGGCTTGCCGAGGATATTTTAACCATTATCAACGAGTGTTGATATAATTGATATCAGTAGACACGAGGGTTAGATTGTATTTATCATCAAAAATCATTCTTCATTAGTTTTCAATGAAAAATGTACGTCTCTCAACACTGAACTACCATTAGACTTACAGTGCAGCGATGTCATAGCATTGTGACGTCATCAAGTTGATGACGTCATAGCATTGTCAGGGCATTGTTCAAATCTACTGTCAAAACGATATCTCCTAGGAGATATCATATGATCTTACACAATATCTCCTGTTGAACACAGTTTTGGATGATAAATAGAGAATTCTATTTATATATATGATGGGCGTATATAGTCTATGTTATAACCTACATGGCGATAACGGGTTCCTGTGTATGCAACTTTTGCAGCCACTAGGCGCACCGAGTTATTGTGGCTTTCTCATCCGAACGAGGTACCCATTCACAGCTGGGTGGACTGGGAAACATATTCACAGTGCTTTGTCCAAGTTCACTGCACGTTGCTGTCCTTTTTTGTGTAGGTGTTTGCATGTATTCATGTGGCCACCATCTGGTCATTTACCAACGGATTCGTGGGCACAGGGGGTTGTGTATTGTACACTAGGGTTGTGACAACACTGAAAGAGTCTGCACACAAAGTTGACTGCAAGGTTTTTACACCCGGTCACAGGTGGGCTCGATCCCGACACCTAGACCTCTGCTGGATCACTAGCCTGGCGCCTTAGGCAGCTCACCCTCCGCGCCAAAATAACGTCTTCCCACAGGACAGACAACACAGCGGGCGATCTCTTGCAGTGGTGCGTGATTAAACTGACAGATCAAAGTGTTCGACACTTCGTACAATATCAGTCCTTATCATTTTAAACATGTATAGTAAACGCTGCAAATAAAATGCTGGATCCTGGACTATAATTTCCACAATGTCCAGCAGAACACGAAATACAACTCACATAATTCTAAAACCATATTTACGATGATTTAATTTGAATGTGGGTGGAGAAAGTAACTGGCAAGGGATTCTGTTATCCGTAAATTCGCTTGTCCGGACAAATATGTTTCATGTTGTCATATTCTTTAGGGGCTGAAAGGGCAACTGTGGCCATTAGAAAATTGCCTATCTGAATTCAGTTAGATCGCAATGGTGGATGACAATGTCAAAAAAGATATTCTTACCTGCCAGGTATCGCCAGTCCTTACCCAGGGCACTGGGAATATTGAGGTAGTCACACACCCGTCCCGTCACAACATATGGGAGGTCACTCAGTCGTGTCGTCATGCTGCAGCCTCCAGGAGGAAACACTTGCCGCTCTTGCCGGAGCACAAGTGATGCCTACAGTCAATGAGCGTAAAGCGTATGCTAATCAATAGCTAATGTATATGATATAGGTGAATATCTAATCAGTTTCCTATTCTAAACGCGAAACAACAAGTTAGCTCTCATCACTACAGTATTTGATATATACTAGCCACATAAAGAAACTATGCATTGTCAAAGTATTATCCCAGTTGATAAGTACGATGACAATGACAAAGGTACATATAAACTTTAATGAAGAGGATGATGAGACCATAACAAGTCGGGAGAATTTCAATTGAAAAGCCAATCACAATGACGTCACGAGTCCACAAGCGGGACAGGGGTCAAGCGACCATGTCACAAGCTCAATAACGGGTATGTCCAGCATCGGCATTGAGAACACCAGTGCGTCGACGACGCATAGAGCCTATCAAACGTGCAAGGAAGGCTTGTGGGATGTCACGCCAGATTCTCTCAAGTTCTGTTGCAAGGTCAAGGACGTTATCTGGCGGATGAGGAAGACGGCGTAGACGTCGATCCATCTCGTCCCTAACATGCTCTATCGGGGAGAGATCCGGTGAATTTGCAGGCCAAGGCAGTAAGTCAGCGTTGTGGTGTTGCACGAAATCCATAGCAACCCTTGCCGTATGAGGGCGGGCATTGTCCTGTTGGAAGGTTAACCCAGGGCCATGACGTTGCAGAAAAGGAATTGCCACAGGTCGAAGAGTCTGATCCCTGTAGCCCACACCAGTTGAGTTGCCCTGAACAATAACCAAAGGAGTTCTTTGGCGTTCTGTTATTCCACCCCAAATCATCACGGAACCACCACCAAAGCGATTCCTCTCCAAGACACAGGCCTGTGCATAACGTTCTCCCACGCGTCTATAGGCACGTTGACGTCCATCACTACGGGAAATGTTAAACCTGGACTCATCTGTAAAAACAGGATAGGCCGTATGGCGGGACGTCGTGGTCTGATCCCGTGATGACGTAAATGTTGTCGAACTGTGTTGGGGTGGATACGACGAAGTCCTGGGATGGTTCGGGCAGTCATCACTGCAGTCTGAAACCTGTGGCGAAGATGGGTCACCCTTATCCATCTGTCCTTTCTTGGCGTTGTTACACGTGGACGTCCAGAACGTGGCCGATCGATGACGTCATTTGTGTTCTGGTAGCGTCTCGCCAGTGCAGAAATGGTGGTCCGGTGGCAGTGGAAATGTGCAGCCACTTGTCGTTGAGACATTCCCTCACGGACCATCCCAATGGCCTCATGACGTTGTGCAGACGTGAGCCTTGGCATGCTATGCGTTGCAATAGCCGTTTAATTTTTTTGAACGATCGCATGGGCAGGGGTTGAGCTTTCAAAGTGACAGTATTGTGTGGCATTCATTTGCTCTGTTTCTCTTTCCCGGAATGCACGTGCAACAACGTATTGCACGTCTCAAGGAGGAACCCACTAACGTCACGGAACATGGCACGTGCATGCATGTTGGATACATGTCACTAATCTTGAGTTTAAATCCTTATGTGTCTACACAGGTTTGATAAATTTAGATTTTAAATTTTTGTATGCACAGTTTCTTTATGTGCCTAGTATGTATGCGGATACGTATTTCAATTCACCGGAAGTAGAAGATAGTTTCACTACAGACATATTTCCCATATGATGTTTCTGACTGTTACCTTTTTCCGTTTCTGACAGCCACCTTTCTACCACGGCACCAATAGTGTTTTGCCCTGACACAGTCAGTGTCTCCATCGTGATCGTCATCGTCTCCAAGTGGCAGGATATGAAAGCTTGTCTGTAATAGATATGCGATAATTGTCAATATCCAACTTCGCACACATGTAAATATAAATCACAAATATAAACAATACTGTTTCTGTCAAAACTGTACCACTGTATAAGTCTATTGTCATTTAATGAATGTAAACCATAAATATTCTTCAATTTGGCATACATACATATGACAGTAAATACAAAATGCTGATATGCCCACAGCAGTGAGCGAGTGAGTTAATATCTGTAGTCACCACGGCATTGTTTCAGGCATATGTATACATTCATGACATACACTTACATAATAAATCCTGTCGACGAAGGGCAGTTTAAACAACTAGAATGTCACAGATATAGATGTAAAACTGGCATGTAAATGTAAAACTATCTACCACTGAAGACAAAACAATATGAAAACGGTATAGATCGCCAATAACTGAAGGTAGATACAACGGACCATGGGGATTACAGGACGTTCCAGCATGAAGCCTAGCTAGATTTACACCATCACTGGGCGATTGTGCTTATTTATTTACAAAAAAAATAATTATCAAAACCTTCAAACAATTCTATTTCTATAAAACAAATTGATGCTTACACGAAAACTGACATTACTAAAAGATCCTTGGCTGTTTTCACATTGAACTATTTATCCCTTTGTGATGGAAAAGTCACAGCAGAACATGCTTGATCGAGATTCTTTCATCACAGGGGATACAAAATGGAGGATCCTCACCCTTTAATAAGTATTCGTGTTTATAATCGACATCGTCGCATAAATGACCTTTTCCAACCTGGGCTGACAGCCCAATGAGGTGTAACCAATAGTTGGCGTAATTTCGTTTTGTTTATTTGGTTTACTTCGCCGTATTATATCTATTTGTTGAGTGCTGCTTTAGCTGTAGCACCAGCCACCGTGTTACCAGAAATTTCATTATGGCGTGGTAACCAACAAAAACGATGACGTATTGACCAGTAACAAGAACGTTAAATAATTCAATAATTCCAGTTATCCACATTAGAATTAAACGATAGTATTATGAAACATGCAATGCAGCCTAACCTACCTGGTGTTTCATATCCTGGTGAGGTGGTTCGCATGGACACTCAACCCCGAGTTTCAGCTTACATTTGGCAAAAGTCTCTTTCACAATTCGGTTTAATTGCTCCAGAGAAGATTTACCATTTGAATATAATCAACACCAATCTCACAACGTATAACGATTCTGAGGAACTGCTTTGTCAGGTGTTGGCACAGATTCAGCATCAAAGCTTGAAGACGTGTTCTCACACGTAGCTTCAGGAGATTCGTCTCGATATTTTGGAGTACTAGAATCTAGCATCTCCAGTTTATAGCTGAACTTGTCCCTGTAAGAAAAGAGTGCTTTTGTCTGACACGCGTTAAGGACTATGCTTTGATCGTCTGATATAATACTGTCATCAAATGCGGCACATTTGCAAACAAGGCGAAGGAATGCCGGGAGTGGAAGAGCAGGCACACACTGGACAAAAAATATGTGATCGTTGCTTGTATCGGGCCAGTAGTTATCTGGCAAAGGAAGTGCCTCCGGTAGCAACGCTGGAATGAGATACAGCCGATCTCGCATCGTCTGACTTGATTTTGTTTGTATCTTGCAAAGTAGATTGAAACTTTCTAACAAATATGCTGCTTTCTCTCAATCCCCCAAAGACATCTATAGTTTGATATGAGCCTAGTATATTTTCTCTGAAGAGCCTCTCGGTACATATACCGAATGTTTCTAAACATTCTAATCCTCAAGTATGTGCCTTTCACGCTGAGACATTTTCGGCACAGTTATCAGCTGACTTAAGATCTTCACAATGGTGTGAGGATTGAATATGATGAACTCACGCAGGATGTTGTCTTTTGAAATGTAAAGTATTTCTCCTGTATTTGAGAAGAACTTTAGTAGTTCTTCAAAATCTTCTTCCGATTCAATAAGACAATCATTTTCTTTACATATGTCATAAACGTCTTCATATTTTTTATACATATCCCATCCTTGCGAAATTTCTATGAGTTTGAAGAAGTAGATGTACTTTATTGGGTATTTCTTAACGTTAATGTATCTTACTTCCCTCAATATTCTCCTCCTCAGATTCAAGTGATCGCTATCTTTATCATTTCTTACTGAATTCTCCACAGGGAATAGAGGAGTGTCATCGTCATTCCACACCACTATGTTGTGGAACTGTCTTGGCAATGCTTCCTTTAGTCGCTGGCCTAGTTTCATGATCACAGACTGATCGAGGGATGGGTCATTTCTGTGAGTACCAACAATGAAGACTCTGATGTCTGGATAATCATGGTGGACATAGATAGAGTAAAGCCATTGAAGAAGATATGCAAAAGCTAAGTCAAAGTCTCTTGAAGCGTCCAGCATACTGAAAACGAGAAGGTACATGCACTGCCCAGTCATGTAAAGGTGATGAGCGGTGTAGTACAGTGGATGACCCGCAAAGTCACGGAGCACCAGTTTTAGACTAGTGTTTATTACTCTCGCCTCGATAACCTTACTTGGATTCTTGACAGGACAGGTTTTAGTCCCTGTTGCCAGGTTATTCAAAATTTCAATAGTCGCTACAACAGACAAGGACATTAAAACATAATTCCAAGAGACGACTGATAACTTCCAATTGAATAGATAGATCATGAATGTTCCTGGAATGGTTCCAAGAAAGTGACGAATAAATCGACGACATCTAGGACTGTCTGTGATGCTTTTGATATATGTGTTTATGATACAGTAGGTATTTTGTCCTGTCGAGAGCCCAACTGCATGAAAATGCCCCGTACCTAATCCACACATTAAGAGAAAGGCATAGTCTTCTGGTGGTAGAACGTGTATTACTATGGCTAAAAGTGGAGCTACAACATATAACAACACAGACCTGTAGTTGACAGATCCAAGTCCTACGTAACACCCCATAATGAACATGTGAAGACGAGGAGACAGGAATAACTGAGATGGGTCTTCTCCAGTCGTGTGAGGTGGCTGAGCTAGACAGAAAGTGCAGACAATACCTACCCCAGTGACATTCCAAACGAAAACGCCACACATGTTTCCCCAATACCGTAACACAAAAATCCTATGAAAATGGCACATGTTGAACCAAATTCGATTTCAAATTATTGAATACCGTCCCACCAACATCCCATCTCAAAAGCGCCTCACAGAGAAGGATCTGGTGGAATATTCCTACTGCAATTCCAAATCCTTCTCGTATCCCAAAAGCAAGACCAGAAGCACCAAAAGTCCACTTACAACAATTCCCACCCAGGATATCCCTCTCCAAGCTTTGCATTGAGACAGCACAGAGAAACAAACCAAGGATAAGATAAGTCACAGCCGCAATTTTAGCAAAACACACAACTGGTGCTACAACCTTTCCAATGCTGAACCAAGGGACGTTTTTCCTTTAGTCTTCCTAAAACATGTTTTCCTAGGATTGCATCAAACTCTTTCTCGTTTGACATGTGGATATCCAGCTGAGACCAGGATGATGCCGGTTGTACCCCTCGACAGTTTCCACCAACTCGTGATCAATGCCAACTTGTGCTTTCCTCATCCTCTCTGAACTCCTGCCATGCCAACATCTTCCTGAGGCTGGTCTTGCCCCTGGGTCTCTCCCGGCCCACAATGTTGAGGATGATGACCCTGTAGGGAGCGATCCTGTCCCTCCCGGAGAGCCTCCTGCTCGGCCTGCCTGCCTTCTGGCCCCATGATGTACTCCATGCCAGGAGTGATGCCCATCTGGTAGATGGCTTGATTCTCTGCCATCATTCATGGTAAACGCGCCTTGTAAAGTAACCTGAAAAATAGTAACAGAGACATCAGAAGCTCTTTCTGGAAAGTGTAATGATCAAAATATATAGAAATATATGCAACATGTACTTTATGTCATTGCACATGTATTAACCCATAATGTGTTTACATTCCCCATATATTGGTAAATGGCCGATAATAATAATTTTTCACAACGGGCATACTCCCTGAATGTTGAATAACACGTTGACACATCGGCGGTATACTTCTAACGTCTGATTTAACATGTAAATCTAGAATTGAAAAGTCCTGTCAGAAGGCAAGACAGAGTGTTAATTCCCTTTAAATGCTTAGGCTAAATAACACTGACCTACATCCAGCTACCAGTGTTAAGATATGGCAGAGAATGATTCTGGAAAACAAGTTTTTATGGCTGTGACTATTGTTTGATGATTAAAGGCAGCAACTTTGGTTGCTAGAAAACACACAGCGGTGCTTTTCTTGCCCGCACTGTCCAGGGACTAGATAAGAGATCTCCGTCTGAATCTACTATTGTAAACTTAGGATTGTGGACCATGATTGGCTACATTGATAAAAAGTAACCCAGTTCTTTGGCTCTTTATGCAACACTCAGTTGTGACAATGTCATAAAACACATATATTCCCAGTGATTCCATGGCTAATATACCCGAAAAATCAACTATTTGTGGAGATCTCCAGTCTGTTTTGTGCAAATACAACCTTAGAAATTACTTAAATACTTACTTATACAGTGGTTCATTTCCCCAAACACCAGTGGAGACGAGAATTATAAAACAAACACGTACAAGAATATGAAGAACACATGTGGCGCAACAAAGTATCACTTAATGCAGGACTGTCTCGTTACATGCGAGCCTCATACATCACTGACATATCACATACTTTGAACTTAGCATTCTTATACCCTGAACACAGAGCAGCCTTGCAATTATGTTTGAAACTTTCATCACGAAATAAAATCTCAAAAAAGAATGTTTGCTTTGTAACAAGCACGCTTATGACTATGACAACCATGTGATACTACACTGTGAAAAAATTATTAGGTCTCCGGAAATAACTTTTTCTCATCTCTGATTGATCTACTTTGATGTTGAAACCTATGTAAATTTTGAAATGTTGGAAGACGACGAAATGCTGTCAACTCCAAGGTGCAGCTATACACAGTTCACACGATCCCTAGTAGTGCGACACATACCATGCTGTCATTATAAACTTTGCAAACTATGTCCATCATTTGAAAGTCAAATATCTTGAGTTTGTATTTTAATGGAGGCACAAGTGACGCCATCCCTTTGTGAATGCGTTCCTGTACATATCAATTGTCAACTATGAATAACATTGTCCCGGTTTGTAAATACTAATGTGTTGTATGTTTGATTGAATTAATGTATCAATAATCTTCGGATTGATTTCTGGAGGAAATAAAGAATCTCTATATCTATATATATCTCTTTGCGTCTTTGTCCACAGTAAAGCTGACATCCATTAAACCTTACACAAAATATGAAGTCCAACTGAGACCCAATATCAGGATCTGAGTTTCCGTGCCTTCGTGGCCCTGCATACACTACCATCTGATACACAGACAATCATTTTGTGCTGTTCATTAAAAACCCACCTGTATGAGTAATATGCTCATACCAATCACACAAACATACAAATTATCAGGCACGTTGAATCTTGAAGTCGACATGACTTCATGAATATGTATGGAGATACACTCATCAAATTTCAGAATATATTTATCTTTATTTATCTTCACTCTTATATGAAGTATGTTTACTTTATTCTCCAGCAGCAGTCTCATCTTTTTCAGCCTTTACTCTGTGAGCACTCAGGCTGGACTGATATTGTGACTAGAACAGGTGAGGTAGGATTTAACAGCGGCTTACTCCCCGGTAAGTTAGCCGAGCGGAGATTGTGTTTCGGTATTATCGGCCATATGTCAACATTTTCGCTCCGGAAGACATCAGAAAAGAAGACTACACAATCATTATCTTGCTGCCACAAGTAGACAGAAAGAAAAGATATTTCAGTAAACATTCGTGTGTGTTGCAATCACCTCTGCCACCAGTATTTCAAGTCCTAGTGAGTATTTCAACCCGGAATGTATCATCAGGTTACCTGTTAGGATGACATGGATGAAACCTAAATGTTGTCAGAAATGGAATATAGAGGGAAACTCCCGCCATTGGGTATGAGTTGAGTCACATAGGGTGAAATTACAACACATCCACTAAAAGCCCTCCAGCTTAACTGTCACTGATCCTGTGTGTTCGTGTTATTGCCTTCGCGATTTCATCCGCCCATCCGGATATGTAAGCCCTATTTGGAACCTGGCCAATGTTAATGACATCGTTTTTGATCGCGACATCGCAGTGTACTTGATGTCACGGAATGACCTAAGTCCATGTGTCCGCCTCACAAAGGGTCCATTTGGTAATCAGAGGGAGATACACGTACACATCGATCTAGAAACAGCCTGGAACAGTCTTCACTGGCCACCATCCAGAGTAGGAGACGGTGGTGGCAGACTCAGACGCATCACGCGAGTGGAAGTTTCTAACAAAAAATTAATTCCTCGTGATTTGCTTTGGGTCTTATTTTGATGTGATATTTAACTTATTATTGGTGGGTTGTTTCTGGCACAAGACAATGGAGTTGTACGTTTATTGATCATGTCAGTGCGGAATATCGACTTTGACTCATTTAAACAGATGAAAACAGTTTGACTTTAGAGTGGTGGATCCTCAGCCAACTTTGAGTAGTATATAGCAGTAGGTATGAATGTGTCTCATTGTAAAACATCAAGTGTAAACTAATTGATGTACTTACGCTATCAGTTGTTCATCCACATTAACCCATAGAGAAATAAAGTAGGAAATCCTCTTTGTAAATATTCAGGACACTGTAACTAGTTAAATGTCCGGCCCCATCACCGTCACCGTAGACGTCTCCCAACAAAGCGGGAAGTGATGTGACCGAGTCGTCAGGGAAGACGTTTCTGCTGAAACCAGCCGGATACGTTTACCTACTTTTAAGAGGACACGGTGAAGGCAGTTTTGATTGGATCTATGTTGTGACGTCATTTGGGTAAACCATTGATTCAGTTATCCACTTGCCTTCCACGGGTAGTCTGAATAAAGAGGTCATGTATGTGGGTTGTGCACTGGTAATCATGCAGGTAACTTCAGTGCACGCTGACAGTGGACAGTGTTGATCTAGACTTGAAATGATGTTAATTAACCGGTTTTATATGGTTTGGTATATTAAATGGTATCAACTGTGCGCGTTCTGCCTCCTCCCTCTTCCTCCTAGCACCTTTGACGCTACAATAATTCTGACGGTGATACTCACAGACTTGACAGTTAATAATGTCATATTTGCAAAGTTAAAATGAGTGAGTGAGTTGGTTTTACGCAGTTTCTAGCAATATTCCAGCAATATCACTGGGGACATTAGAAATGGGCTTTACACATTGTACCCATGTGGGGAATCGAACCCAGGTCTTCAGCGTGACGAGCAAATGCTAAAACCACCTCCTCCCAAAGTTACAATGACACACTTTATGGATGACACCTTCTTTATTTCGTAAGTGCGATATTTTGAAACAGATTCTCCTACCAAGTTGTCAAGCAGGATGTCGCGGTGTTTTTACGAAGTAAAATACGTTGTTATCCATAACGTTTGTCATTTTATTGTTCTTCCCAAAGAGGTCACCAG